TACAGAGACAAATTGAGATGTGGGGTTCATGATTGTCGTGCCGAGTATGCTGTTGATTTGTTTGATCAGATGGTTCAGTCTCGTCCCTTACCTTCCATCGTCGATTTCACTAAACTATTGAGTGCAATCATGAAGATGAAATGGTATGATGTTGTCATTTTCCTCTGCAAGAAAATGGAATTGTTTGGGGTTTCACATGATATCTACTCTTTGAACATTCTACTCAACTGTTTCTCCCACTCTCGTCAAGTGTTTTTGGGCTTATCTGTCGTGGGCAAAATCTTGAAACTCGGTTACGAGCCTAATGAAGTCACCTACACTATCTTAGCTCATGGTTTCTGTATCCACGGGAAGATTTCAGCGGCTTTAAGCTTGGTTGACCAAATGGTGGAAGAAGGTTACAAACCTGACGTTGTAACATTTAACACTTTGATCAACGGATTTTGCCTTGAGGGTAGAGTTTCTGAAGCATTGAGTTTATTTGATCAGATGCTAAAGATGGATTGTCAGCCCGATGTAGTTACATTTGCCATTGTTATAAACGGGGTCTGTAAGGCAAGAGATTATGCATTGGCCATGAATCTACTCGGGAAGATGGAGGAAATGTATATTGAGATCGATATCGTAATTTATAATACGATCATCGACTATCTTTGCAAAGCCGGACACGTGGAGGGTGCACTGAACCTCTTCGGAAAGATGGGTAGTTGTGGGATTGTACCTGATGTAGTAACTTTTAATACAATGATAAATGGTTACTGCAAGACTAATAGGGTCGATGAGGGTGTTAATCTCTTTTATGAGATGTCTCGAAGAGGATTGGTTGCTAATACAATTACTTACAGCACCCTCATTCAAGGGTTTTATCGAGTAGGCAACCTTGGTGCTGCCCAAAAGTTTTTCATGCAGATGCATTATAAGGGTCATCGTCCTAATCTTGTGACTTATAACATTGTGCTTGATGGACTTTGTAAGAATGGAAAAACGGACAAGGCACTTTGCTTATATAATAAGTTGGATAAGAGTGGGATTGACCTCAATATACCTCTCCATAGTTGCATGATGCATGGTTTGTGCAGAGTTGGGAGGGTTGACGAAGCGTTGATATTATTTAATAAGCTTCTTGACAGAGGGGTGAAACCGGATGTTATCATGTATAACATAATGATATCCGGACTTTGCGGGAAAGATTCACTGTATGAAGTCGAGAAAGTAATTGGTAAGATGAAAGAGGATGGTTGTTTTCCCGACGATGGTACGTATAACGCATTGATCAGGGGTCGTCTTAGAAGTCGCTTTCCATCGATGGTTATCGAGCTGATACGAGAAATGCGGAGCAATGGCTTTTCTATGCATGCATCGACCTCAAATATGATAATGGGTATGGTATATGAAGGTAGATTGGAAAAGGGGGTTTTGGATCTCCTCTCTTAGTAGATGTAAGTACTAAACGGCTGATGAAAAGGGCCAGCATCACATGGTTGTTTGTTTGATGAGAAGAACCAGAAGCTATCCAGGTAAATTATCCCTATGTTTCACTTTTTATGTTTTCAATATCATAAATCCTGTGTCTTTGTTTGTTTGGGCACAGCCTACCTCCTCATTGGACGTCTGATTGGATCTGTTTTTTTTTCCTATTGTCATTCAGACATCTTTGGATATTCTGAGTGTTTTGAGGTAAGAACACTATTGCCACTGGAGCTTCAATCCACTCTGAAGCATGATTTCAGATGCCTTTTCATGACAAATCATTCCCCTCTTGTTGGGAAGTTGCATAAGATTCTGATGAAAATGTTTGTCAAGGCATGGTAAAATCAAAGACTCAATCAAATCGAGCCTCGTCTCAGAAAGCTTCAGAAACTCATGGTTCTTCGGTCGGAACTCGGACATCACGACCAACTTCAAAAAACGAAACAACAGCTCGAGGGCATGGAGCAGAGGCGGTAGCAAATGATGTATTGAGGTAAGAACAGTAATGTCCCCTGGAAGTTGAGATACTTTTTTAGCCCCTGCTTTTGGAAAACTGCATAAGGTTCTGATGAAAATGCCCATCAAGGCGTGGTAAAATCAAAGACGGGAGAGTCTGCGTTAAATTTTGATTGGATCTGGGTTTTTTTCCCTTTTTTCATTCAGGCTACCTGAATTATAGGAGATGTACCTGCAGATAGTTACATGGATCCGGACGCAGATTCTGGCGTTTTTGTGGACCCTGATTTGTTGGTGAATGGTTATGTACCCTTTGACATTGATGACCTTCCTCTTGATCCAGACATTGACCCCTTGAAGACTTTCTCGCGTCAAGCCCTGTGCCTGATGATATGGATTCATCAGAAACAGCAGATGTTAGAATTGAGAACAAGGAGACTGAGAAGAAGCAAAATGGGTGGGACAGAGCCAAACATATGGATAAGCTGACCGAACAGATGGGTCTTCTCTCGCCTGAGGTCAAAGACCTACCCAGGTATTTTTCGAGTTTTCAGTCAAACCCTAAATTTACAGCGTTCCTCCTCATTGGATCTAATTGCTTTGTAACAGAGATTCTTCTTTTTTTTTTCTCTTTTTGTCATTCAGGCAAGAGCCATGATCCTTGGGTGTTCCGAGTGTTTTGAGGTAAGAACACTGCTGCCCCTGGAGCTTCGATCCACGCCGAAACATGATTTCAGATGCCTCTTCATGACAAATCATTCCCCCCTTGTTGGTAGAAAATCAAGGGTGAGAGAGTCTGTGTTTGTGTCTCATTTGTTACAAGAAGAAGCAATGCAATCCGTGCGTCGAAAGAGGTCAGAATCTCTGATCCCGCTTCCTCGACATCCGAAAGAAACCAATCTCTGATCCATCATTAGCTGTCTCGGTTTCCCTTACAAGCTCTGTAATGTGTTTTGTAGCTTTCGGAGACGGGAAAATGAAAAAAAAAAAAAGGGCTAAACTTTCTCGAGCGAGGACTATGAGCTGAAGCCGAGGAGGAGCTGCTCAAAGACTGGAGTTGAAGATGGCAAAGGCTTTTGTTTAATGTCAATTTGATTAGGGTTTTGCTGAGGATCTTTTTTTTATCGATGTGTTTTTTGTTTTTTTTAATTGTTTTTCGAAGAGGTTCGTGGTTAGAATTATCCTTCGTGCTTGCGGTTGAAGAATGCGGGGAACATTATCGCCGACTAATTAATAAATAATAATCACGCAGCTTTAAAATTTTGATAAATGTGGGTTTCCAAATAATATTTGGGCCCAGGTCCATCAAATCTGAACGCATACCAAAATTATTCCACGCGACACTTTATCCGATTTCACCAGAAATGGCCCAAATAAATGGACTATATAGTCCAGAGATTTGAGGGCGGTGGTGTCCACGCGTTACTTGTGCGAGTGAGTTTGTTTGAGGCATTGTTGGATTCATCCAAGACGATGAAAAGTCCACCTCAGCCCTACGTAAGACATTTAAAAGGCCTATTAGAAGCTCATGAATGAGCCCAACTAGAAACCCATTTACTCAATTTAAAAACGATGACGACCATTACTCAAAAACATTTGTTACTTGTTTTATAGAATTAAAACAATGTATTATATGCGTAATCCAACAATTATATACAAAAAAAACGTTTTTTCAATTTACAGTATTTCATATACAATTTATGGTATAAATCATAACACTTTTGTACATAAACTTGCTATGGTCGAGTACCCGAGATTTTTGGGTTTCTTGAACCCGAAACAAATGTCTTGGGTTTAACGAGATATTACCCGATCTCGGATCCATTTTGATTGGATACCTGACCTTTAGATACCCGAGATAATTTTTGAGGTACCTGGTTTTTTTTCTTTTCAAAATGTATATCATATATACATTTTTTGACCAAATAACACTTTACATTTGTTTCGGGTACTCGACCATAACACGTCACGTCGGATCGGTCAACTCGTTTTTTTGACCAAATAACGCTATGGACAAATATAGAACCGTTTAAAAAGTTCAAGATTTAACGTGTTCAATTTTTCAAGTTTGGGAATTAATAGATACCTCTACAAGTTTAGGAATTAATATTATTCCAAAATAAAAGTTCAGAAATTTTTAGGATTTTTTCCCAAAATATAATCAAACGATTTAAGCTACACCTCTTCTCTCTTTCTTTCTTTTTTCCGAAATTGCAGAAGAAGTCCAACAACATGCCTTTTATTCATGTCGAAAATGTATTTTTCATTAGAAAAATGTAAAAATGGTTTTTAGTTTCTTCTAATTATTTATTTTATAATTAATCTACCATTGAATATCCAAGGTGTCGGGTTTATTTTCATACCCTCTCTCTCACACACACAGAGTGTGTATATATATATATGATACAAATATGTGTCAGATACAGATTTTATCAATCAAATGGTTTGCTATGTGAAAACACGTTTTATTATTTATAAAATAAAATGGCGGTGTAACTTATAATATAATTGATTAGATATGAATTGTACTGTGTTTGGTGTTAAAAAAATTCTATTTAAATAGAATCGGATTATCTGAACCCATTGCACACAACTCTTGCTCATGTTATATATTGTTTGTAAGTATTCGTCACGGACCATATCTCACTCGTATTTTTTTATTGGATATGATACGTTTTATATGGCAAGAATGTAAACAAAACAATGGCTTTGATCCAATGTTATTTTACTAAAAAAGAGACATTTGATATAATTGTTAGTGTGAAATCTAGAATTTGTAAATAAAAAAAAGTATAAAAACACAAAATGCATAGTATATGCGTCTAACACAAATATCAAATTGAGACTTTGGATTAAACAATACCTATTTCTTGGACGGTGTGTGTCGGGTTTGGGCTGTGGATGGATGGTGTACGTGTATGCCGAGTAATGCACGGCGTAGCGTTTTCGTTTTAAACAAGCGCATTGATTGTAGTTTTCACTTCAAAGAAACGTCACGACGTTTTAAGTCGGGGAACCAAAATCTCATTACTCGAATTGTATTATGGGGCGCGGGAAGGGCAAAACCCCTTCTTCTTCACGACCAGAATCGAAGACGAATAGAGACAATCCATCATGTAATCTTGCGAAACGAAGGAAATACAGAACATATGTCTTGGAATTACCCTGAAATTTCGCTGGAAGACTTGATGAAGCTGGTGAAAGGGTTTGTGGACATGCTGATTTTGACATCTGGGCATCAATCTTCTGGTTTTCCTGCTCAATGGGACGCTGAGAATTGCAGGAAAGCCCTTCAATGGGGCCTTTTCTTCGAAAATGTCGGTCTCTCTCTCTCTCTGATGATCCTTTTTTTTTTTTGTGGAATTTGCTTGTATTCGTGGCATTGGTTTGTACTGGATAGTTCACAATTGGGTTTTTCAGGCAGGTTAGTAAATTCAAGTACTTTTGTATGATTGGCTCTGGTCAGGTGTTAAAGAGCATAACCAGTTCAGACAAATATGCGAAATCCGTGATAGAGCTTGACGAAGCTATATCTGAAATGAAATCCAACCCACTGTTTCCAAAGGTTATTGTTTGCCTTAACTTTATCATAGTCTAATCATCATGTAAATGATCTGTTTGTGCCTAGCCTTTGGGGTCACCTTATTGTTTTAATGAAATTCAGGGTCTAGGGAGTTTATCATCAAGCACTCTTATCAAGGGGAGGGAGTTTGTCTTAGGGCATTTGGTGGATAATGTCACATTGAGGGACAAACACCTCAAGGCCATTCTGGTTGCCGCTGTGGAATTGGGTGATGATGTTATAGATATCATCACTAGCAAGCTCCAGAAGCGGCAATCTGTGGTTTCATGTGCATCTGCACTTGAGACAGGTTTGGACATTCTCTCCAAGAACATAGAAAATGGCTGTTGGTCAAAAGAGGCATTAGCGGAAGATGGCGATCAGACGTTACTGAGGTATGTATGCTTTGTGATCATGAGGAAGTACGTAATGCAGTATCAGATGACACTTGTTAATGCTCTGTTTGTGTATTGTATTGGCTCTTTCCTTAGTTGGGGACAGCAGCTTGTTGAACTTTCCACTTGGAATAACTGGAAATCAAAGAGTGTATCGTATTTTCTCAGCAAAAGAACCATGAAATTAGTATCTGGTGCAAGCTTGATATTTTCTGCACCGAAGGTTCAGTGGGCAGAAGTTCTAAAAGGTTTACATGATTTTTCTGAAAGCAATGGTGATATTTTTCTTCAAAAGATTGTAAGTTAGTTCAAACCTTGACCTAGATTGTCGTCACTTGGCATTCTTTACAAGAGAAAGAAGCCAATTTCCAGTTCTCTGGTTTGAATCCATGTTGTTCTCCTCTGAAACAGGAGCTGCTGTTACTAGGATGTGTTGCAAGCAGATGGACTCATTTAGTTGAGCACATCATGTCAGTCTCTTACAATTCTGTTACTATGGCAGAACAATATGAGGAGTTGTGCAAACTGCTTCTTCAAAGATCTAAAAGTTTGAATCAGCATGTGGGTACATCAAATTCAAAGGTAACTTGATCAATTATGTCATCTATTGGGCTGTACCACTTCTTTGCTATAAATAATTTAGTTCTTTATCCGTTGTCATTCCTATTTGATTTTAGTCACAAATATCATGATGATTGGTCATGATGAACCTTGAATAGGTTGAAGAGATTCTTGAATTTCTTACTGAAATACTCCATGGTTGTGTTCACAATCTCTGGAGAATCCCTTGTGCCCTTGCTGGAGCTGCAATTCCATCATGGTAACTATTGATCCTACTATTTCACCATGCCAATGTTATGTCTGCATTACAAAGCTTGTGGTTAGAAAGATTGGCTGACAGAAAGATACCAGCAAAAAGTTCTCCTGGTGAACCTTTGCCCTTTTCCTCTTGTGGTTGAGAATTCATCGCCCGATATTTCTAAGTTATAGCAAACCTTAAGAAAAATAACTTCAGAATGTTTCTAAAAGTAGAAATTTGTGTAAAAACTGAAAAAAACCATACTTTTATTGTTTTGGTAATAAAATCCGTCTATATCAACTTAAGTCTGTTTATCTTTAAACTCATCTGGCAAGTATCCATATGGTTTTGTGCATCCTTTGTGTTTCTGCTAAGCTCAGAGTATATTCAACCAGAGATCACTGGCTCTTGGTATCACAGGTCACCTTTGTTCAGCCTATATTTCGGGGAAGTAGAGAAACAGTTGAAACAAGGCCCCTCTGCAAGCAGGTTTAGTAACGGCTCTCGAGCTTTGGTCACTCACTGTTGTTCTTGAATTAAACAAGAGTCAGATACCCATTTCGCCTCTGTCTCTTTCTTCCTGCAGAATTTGTTCAACTGTTCAAGATGCGGAGGAAACCAATAGCGGTGAGTGCAACATCTTTCTATTACTACAGTGAATTACTCGAGGAGTTATCGGTTTTGGCAATATAGAGTTGGCCAGATTATACTAATGCATATATCTTAGCAGTCACCATTTGCCATTTGACTTTGTATTCAGAAAGTTCTTCCAATTCATGTCCAAGGTAACAACAGATCCCTTTGGAAAGAACTCTGAAATAAGCTTGATGGCGATGTGTATATATGTGTAGGGGAGCTGGCTGAAAGGATCTGGGGAATGTACGCATTTCACGTCCGCGGATTCCACCAAATGAACTGATGGATTGGATGCTGAACGGTAAGTTCATAATCATATGATGTGGTTGTTTCCGCTTTTATGTGGGGATATTGTTGTGTCTATGTGATGATGATACCTTTTTCTGGATATTAATTATAAATATATTAATATCCATGTTAACATATGTAAATATCGACATAAAAAATCTTCGGTGTTTTTTTTCTTTGGCATAAGCCCACAAATGGGAATGCCACCCACCGGTGTCTTGCAGTCTCGTTTGGATGTTCTTATGGTCCTAACTCCTAATGCCATGAGGACCGACTCGTCTTTTTATTCCGTTTTATGATCATTTCCCTAGTATTCCACGCGCATGAGAAGCGCGTTGTATTCACGCGCACGATTCCGCAAGGTTCATAGGGAATGAATACTGATTTCTGAGAGAGTGAGGAATGAATACATTTCGCACAAAACGCAACGTTTCGACCTCGGCGACTGAGCGAGAAAAGCCATGGCAGGTTTCGTCTCGCCGTCGCAGTTGGGATCCCCATCCTTCGCCACGGACGCCTCGTCCTTACGGCGCCACGTCAGCCCTAGAATGTCGCACCAGTCGCCGAGACCCACCACCTCAACGACCGTCTTCACGGCCGCCACGAAGCTGCTGTGGGGCCCGTCTCTCCCTCCGGGCCTCCTCATCTCCACCGTCCGTACGGCCTGGACCACCGCGTGGCAATTCATGATGACCCAGCTCGCTCCTTCGGACCCATCCGGCTCATACACCCGACCGGCTTCCAGATTCCGCCTCGACCAGACCCGGTTCGATTCTGCCGCCTCCGCCGAGCTCCACCTCTACGTGGGTCTTCCATGCCCGTGGGCTCACCGAACCCTAGTTGTGCGAGCCCTCAAGGGCCTTGAAGACGCCGTGCCGGTTTCAGTTGCCGCACCGGGCCAAGACGGGTCGTGGGAGTTCAAGGATAACGATTACCCAGGCGAGGATAGGCTTATCCCGTGTCGGGATAAGGCAAACAAAGCTAGGAATTTGAAGCAAGTATACAAATTGAGAAGAGGAGGGTACGATGGGAGGTGTACGGTTCCGATGCTATGGGACGCTGGGAAGAAGGAAGTGGTGTGCAATGAGAGCTACGATATAATCGAGTTCTTCAACTCGGGTCTCAATGGTTTTGCTCGGAACCCGAGTTTGGATCTCTCGCCGAACGAGTTGAAGGGGAAGATCGAGGAATGGAATCGGATTGTTTACCCTAACGTCAACAATGGCGTTTACAGGTAATGAAGCATCACAAGCTACAGAAATTTTTTGATCGAACTGAATCAAACATATGGGTTTGATATATGTTTTTAGTTGATTATCAGCTTCTTAGGAGAAAGTTAGAAGCTCCGTTAAATAGGAAAGGGTAGAAACTTTGAAATTTTCTCACATGGAGATGAAGAAGGTAAAGGTAAAGGTGCTGGCTTTGGTTTCTAGATTTATGAATCTCATAGTGACTCTGTTTCATGTTTGGAAAGGTGTGGGTTTGCTCAGAGCCAAGAGGCATATGACAAAGCAGTGAACGAGCTCTTCGGCACGTTGGAGATGATAGATGATCACTTGGGAAGTCATAGGTACTTGTGTGGTGAAACCCTAACGCTGGCCGACGTGTGTCTATTCACGACATTGATCCGTTTCGACCTCGTCTACAACGTTCTGTTCAAATGCACCAAGAGGAAGCTTGTTGAGTATCCAAATCTCCATGCGTATTTGCGTGACATTTACCAGGTACAAATACTCTTACACTTCGAATCAGCTTTATTGGTCTGGTGTAGTGTATTATGATCCTTGTATGTCTTGTTCGGCTGCAACGTATAACTTCAGGCCTGGTTTCTCGATCTGAATCGTCTCTCGTAATTTTTTCGATGGTTGAATTTGGTTACATGAACAGGTTCCAGGAGTTGCAGGCACCTGTGACTTTCCGGCGATAATGGAGGGCTACTACAAAACGTTGTTTCCGCTCAACGCAGGAGGCATTCAACCGGTCCCGCCTGCATCCAGCGATCACCATTCACTCTTGAGACCTCACGACCGGGAATCACTCGGTTCGGTTCAGGAAAAAAGAGTTGGAGTCAAGTTGTAGCACCAAGCATATGATGTATAGAAAGCGAAATTCTGTGTAAGAGGGAGGAGTGAAGAAGAATAACACCGAAATGAAAATGGTTTATATCATAAAGATCTTGGAGCTGTGTGTATTCTGTACTCATGCTTTGTATAAATCAAAAGGGTTAATTTAACTTGTCTTCTCTTCAGTCACTGTCTAGCGAGCTTGTAAATCCTTTTCGGTTCTGTTTTTCCTCTGATAGCTGAATCAGTATGATTGTTAGCGTGTAATGTATTCTCCGCGTCACCATCCATGAACAAATGCAGTGAACTCATGCTCAAACCTAATCATGTGTTCGTTGCGTGCAAAACACGTAACAACGTACATCAAAATTCTTCCGCTGCAGATAGTAGCCCAAAGTTAACACACCCACTGGCAATACACATAGTTCGGCCCCAAAAGAGGAAACAAAGTCCAACCCCTTTTGTTTCTTGGCAAAAACCATCATAGCTTACTCCATAAACACAGGGTTAGGATGTTTTCCAGTTCACAAAAATTTGGGCTTCAGCTCTTCATTGCTATCTACAAAATAAGACTGGCCCCCTTCTTCAAGCTCATCAGAATACTTTCATGGTGTGTTGACCACATTCTTGGCTTCTGCACACAAGGAAATGAGAGGTATGAGCAGAATCAACCATCAGAATGGGGGG